GCATGTGCAGCCACGGGGCATTGGTACATCACTGAACAGCGAGCGCTGCTAAGCGCTCCAGATCGTATTTGCCAGGCTCCTCCGCGTTCCCCTTGCCAGGCGATTGTGCTCTGGAAAGTGACGTCCTGGACTTGCCCTTGCGGGGGCGTGTTCCCTGGTGCACTCGGAGCCGAGCGGCTGACCTGGCTTCCCCTCTTTGCCACGCTTACCTGGGCCCAGAGCGCACACGGCCCAGGGAGCTCGCTGGGGCCCTGGGAACGGAGCCACAGAACTGCTTGCTGGGCTCAATCGTTTCCCCTCTTACCGACCCAGCCATGACCCGCTGCCCGGGTGCCGGCACCGCCCCGTTTCCTCTGCAGACTCTGAGGTGGGCAGGCCTGAGACGCAACAAGCCCAGGCGGCCGAGGGCGAGGGCTCTCCTGCTTGAGCCTGGTCCCAGCCCAGCCTGGGGCCCGGATAGTGGTCCCTTTTTCCACCCCGGGCCCTGCTGGCCCAATGGGATTATAGCTGTCCTGGTCCCCATCTGTGGCCCCTTGCTGTCCCGCTGTGGTCATTCTACAGTGTAACTCCCTCGGAGCGGACCCTCCCGTTCCATTGTCGGAGAAACAGTCGAATTCCAGGCACCGCCCGTCGCCCTGGGACAACCAAACCCCGACTTTGCCAGATGTGGTGGCCCTAGCTCCTACCGTTCGGGAGGAGTTCTTGAACGGACTGGCAGGTGGATGGACAGACAGACGCACGTTTCTAAAATCTATTGTAAGATCGTGGCTAACACAGAGTGGTCGTCCGCTCCCTTCTCGGGGTTATTTTATTTGCCCTGCAGCGCTTGTTAAACATCACCCCTCCCACACCTCGCCCTTCAGCACGGAGACGCTGGCTGCCCAGGTAAAATAGTCACTTTGTTCCATGACCAAACACTGCCGGAGCGGTAATGCATCACCCAAATGAACCGTGGGCTGAGCAAATATTTATTGATACGCTGCTGCTCGTCTGTTCCTCAGCGTGGCCGCGGAGACTCATGCCCGTGCCTTGAAGATCTTGCCAAAGCTGCCCTGAAGCGTTTGCCTAGATGGCAGAGGCTGGGGTCGTGAGTGGCAGCACACAAACATGCTCCAGGGGATGAGACTTGGGCTAATTTCCTGGCCCAGGGTGCGTTGAAGAGCGTATAAAAGGCTTTCTCCAGAGCGCCAGGGACACCCAGTGCCAGGGCTATGTCCCAGACCAGCTTCGCTAATAGCCATTGCTGGACCCCTGTTGCACTTTTGGCCTTCATGGCATCCCCTGGCAGGGAGTTCCACAGGTTCCTTGTGCCTTCTGGCAGGAAGTAATTCCTTATATATTTTTTGAAACTTGCTGCCTATTAATTTCATTGAGTGAGCCTTGCTTTGTGTGTGATGAGAAGGGGTACAAAGTACGTCCTCAGTCCCCCTCTCAGGCTGGGGGGAGGAGGGAGCCGAGCTCCGGGGAAGAGCTGGGCACGGGACCATGGGGAGCAGGAGTTGGGGGGGCAGAGAAACTGGGTTGGGAGGGGAAAGAAGCAAAAGGGGGGTGGCAGAGGTAGGCAGGGCTGGCTGGGAGAGAGGAGGCAGGTGGACGGGGCTGCTGGGGACAACTGGGGGGGTTGGGGAAGGGAAAGGGGCTGTGAATGAATGGGGGGCTCTCTGGGGAGGCTTGTGGCTCACTCTGGGGGAGGAGAACCGGCCCATGGATCTATTGTCTGGGGGCGCGAAGTCCTCTTCCCGGGGCCTGA